TCCCAGTCATACATCCTCGTTAACTTTACATTTCCACTTCATTGCCCTTCATTTTTATAACGCAAAAAAATTGTTTCTTTAAATCTCTCCCTGAATTGTTTTATATTTACACATTCCTTAAGCTTTATATTTAAGTTATTCCACAATTTCACCCCATGTACAGAAGCACAAAAACTCTTCTTCCTACTATGTGCCATTGGTAATATAAAATTTTGTTTTCCTCTTAACACATACCCTCCTTCCCTCTGAGTAAATAGTTTTTTAACATTAAGAGGTAAGTTATTACACTTTGCCCTCAATGAAATTTGAACAGTCTGTAGATCCACTAGATCTTTAATCCAATCCAATCCAATTTTATTTATAAAGCGCATTCACTTTAAATTTAAATATTTTGGACTCCAAAAAAAAGTGTATTGGTATGAGCTGTAAAGCCCGCTCCATGAATAATCCTTAAAGCTCTCTTCTGTAAAATAACAAGTGGCTGCACTGATGTTGCATAATTATTTCCCCAGACTTCTGCACAATATGTGAAGTATGGCAAGACCAATGAACAACAGAGCATACATAGAGACTTCTGGTTTAAAACTTGCCTTGCTCTACTGATTATTGCTATACTCCTGGACACCTTGCTCCTTACATGGCTAATGTGAGGTTTCCAGTTCAGTTCACAATCAATTAGAGCGCCTAATAATTTTATTTCCTTAACATTTTCAATATTCACTCCGCCTATTTTAACTTTAATTTTCAAATTGTTTCGACCACTTCCAAACATCATTAATTTTGTTTTCTTCAAATTTAATGATAATTTGTTTGCATCAAACCATAATTTGATCTTTTCTAATTCCTTATTTATCTCCTGCAACAACAACTGAAGATCACTGCCTGAGCAGAAAATATTTGTGTCATCGGCAAACAATACCAGTTTTACTGATACTGACACTTTACATAAATCATTAATATAAATAAGAAACAATATTGGAGCCAACACTGCCCCCTGTGGAACACCACAAGAAATTTCCAATCAGAACAATAATTTCCCAATTTCACAAATTGCCTTCACTTGGTCAAATAACTTTTAATCCAATCTAAAGCCTTTCCTCTAATACCATAACGTTTTAATTTTCTTAATACTATATCATGATTGATGGTATCAAACACTTTCCTTAGATCGAGAAATATTCCAATAGTGTGCATTTTATTGTCTAATGAGCTGGTTATTTCTTCTACAGAATCCAACAATGCAAGAGATGCTGCTCTTTTTGCTCTAAAACCATACTGGCATTCATTGAGTATACTATTTTTTCTAAAAAGTAATCAAGACAAGAGATAAAAAGTTTTTCGAGAATTTTTGAAAATTGTGGGAGCGGGGAAACAGGTCTATAATTTGTACACTGATGTTTATCCCCAGATTTATAAAGTGGAATAACCTTAGCTATTTTCATTTGATTAGGAAATGTACCAGACTCAAAAGATGTATTATAAATGTAGGTAAGAGGTTTCGAAATGGCATCAATAACATTTCTCACTACTATCATATCAATATGATTGAGTTTTGAAAGATTTTGTCTAGTCGCAGCAACATTTCTTTGAACGACTCGACTGAAGAGTTGACTCATTAATTTAAGTGGAAAGAAATTCATAATAAGTTGCAAGTTCTGAAAATTCTCTCAACATTTATGCTAAATACTAAAACTATGCTGTGCTTTCCTTAATGTTTTGTTCATTTTATTAAAGATGTATAAATAGTTCTATATCATATGTATGAAGAATGCTGGATGTTCTGATTATTCATCAAAACATGAAACAAATATTCTTCATCTAAAGGAAAACTGTGGTTTTAGTTAAATCACTGCCTCAAAACCCAAAGAAAATTTTAACTTTTTTGGACTTAAAATGTATTTATAATACCAAATTTTTATGAATTATGTCATGGCCCAAAGAAACTGATTTGCTTTCTGATACAATCAAACTATACATCAAAGACCGAAATAGTAAATGGGACAAATTCCTGCGAGACGCTGTTATAATGAATATTTTCTGGGACATGCTAGGTTTTTTTCTCTCTAATTTGAGTTATAAACTATTAAAAGGTGCACCATATCCACATTCATAAACTGTGTTTATTTTTATTTTATTTGTGGGCCAATTACACAATCTAGTTTGTGTCAGAGTATAACTAATAAGATGCATCAGCACTGCGGAGGGGATTTCTGGGTCCTGGTGGTGTAAACAGAGGAGATGGTGCAGGTTGTGATAAACAATCAACATCCCCATTCTCTGCCTAAGAATTCTGCAAATTCACATCACATTACAGAGTGTTTTCCACCTGTTTGAAGAGGCCAAGTTAAAAACAAAACAACTCCTGAGCATGCTAGAAGCTTTGAAAAGAGGTGATTACTGAAAATATACTGTTGTTCATAATCAGCGACCATAACTTCTTCTTCACCAGACATTGAACCATCTTCTTCAGAGGAAATTATAAAGCTGAAAGAATATCAAAGTGTCTCTCATATCTGCAGTATTGTCTGATGAGGCTCAGCTGAGTGCAGGACTGCCAGCCCTTTCTTTGGAGACACTGCCACGGCAAATGGGCACATTCCTATCGATTTTACTGTAGCGCTGAGATGCAGGAATATTTTGTCCTCTTCAGTTTCCTCCACAACTCTGCTGGCAGCACTGAGCCACATGATGGACTGCACCGAGACAACAAGCCCCTCAGAGACCTCCCTGTTCTCTGCTACAGACACTTAAAGCTGTTCTGTAAGACCTTACAACAAGTACATGTGGAAGATAATATATGTGACAAATTGGACATTTGAAGCCACTCACTGTTTTGTGACCTGCTGCCTTGACGACTTGGTTCCTGTCAAATATGCACTTGCTCCTCACAGGAAGATTTCTGACAAGAGTGAAATTTACCCAAAACAATGGCAATCACTGGTGCTATATAGCCTCTTTTAGAAAACAATGTGCCACAACGCTGAGCCGGCACCAGGGAGCCTAAGGTTGCTTATAAGTGGTCAAGACTTTTTGTGCAATTGTGACTTTTTTTTACAAAAGATTACACAATGGCTGTAAAAACGGGGATAGGGGTAATCTCAGCAGCGCTGACACAGACTTCCGTTTATCTTGGACATAACTTGCTTTTTATTGTGGTCGTCTCTTTCCGGAGTATTTCTCTTATCTGATGGCACCATCTGGTGGCTGACAAGCATATCACACAAATAGCTTCTGTTTTTTAAGATGGCGACTTCACGTTTCTGGTTTATTTATGTGCTTCTGCATGACAGAAGCATAAACTAGGTTTTACAGATAGATGTACACGGAGATGGCATGTGTTATCAACGTAGCTTCAGTAGAATTAAAAGGGAGCATTATCTGAAAAAAGTAGCGTCGGGCTGTGCAGGCGAGCTAACAGGCACAGCCTTTTCTGTCAAAGTTCATGGCGTTCCTTTGGGAGGCAGTTCTTGCATGCCGCATGGTTTTCATCCACACAACTAATCCAAAGTGAGCCCAAACTTTAGGACTTGCTGGTGAATCTTTTAACTATTTTCTTTCCCCCCTGCTCCGCCATATTGTCCCTGGTGATCTTCTTCGACAGGTGTTTTTGGCTCATTCTAATGAGGAGTCTTTTGTACTCCTTGACCCACGGGTGAATAAATGTTCATATTTTTGGACTTTTTCCATGATGCGTTCTTCAATCTATTTTGGGTCTGCCGCTAAATATTTTTTTACTTTTTAACGGGTCAATGGCGGTACTGGTATGGAATTTACAGGAAGCGGCATCCTGACCAATCACAAGCTTGTGTTATCCGTCACTTTTGACGGATGTTTAAAATTTTGGGCATGTTTCCATCGCCCTGTGGGAGACCATCGGACAGCTATTGCACCGACGCATAATGGCGTTGCGTGTCTCCGCACCGACGCAGACAGAGAAGTATAAAACAGGCTTAATCCCCAACAGTTCTAGGTCCCACCCTCCTGCATCTTATCAACACAGCAATTCCCTCATATTAAAGAGTAACAAACCCAACGACTCATTAAGATGTAAAGAGGAGAGGTATTCCTAGGCAGTTTCTGCTCTTTAAGCAACAATACACAGCTTCAGCATTGTCACAATTGACAAAGCTCCTCAGTTGAGAAGCAAAACGTCTTCAAGAAACCAAAGAAGTCCAGTTGCCTTATTTGAACCCCTTTTGATTACCATGACCTGGATGAATGAGAACCTTGACCAGCATTTATGATAGTTGTAATTCCATTTTCAACCAGTAGGGCAGAGAAGCTGCAACTGTTCAGTGTTACTTTAAAAATGCATTATAGCCAACTTAACACTTTCCAATTTCACAGTTTATGTGACGCCATATCACATTGTTGGATGTTTAACAAGCTATCCCAGAACAATTATGTATAATCTAGAAAATCAAAAATGTTAAAAAATCATAGAGATGAATGAAGCTTCTGATGTTAAACCTGGAATCACCATAAGTTTGTCTAACACGTTTACATTTCACCTCTTCTTAATTTTAAGAAGTGTGTTGTTATTTATGTTTTATGCATGGAGGTGAAAACAGGGCCATTTTGCTGCGATGACTGCGGTGTGCCTGCAATCCAGCTGGGCGGAATGGGGAGCGGCTTGATGGAGACGTGGTTGTCATTTAATGAATGTCGCTGTTTAAACGGGCTGTGATTCGGTTATAACGCGGCCAATGACACTAATATAATCACTAGAGTGTGTTTGTGTTACACAAGATCAGTCTACCTGGTGGCTGTTCTTGGCGGACAGACCGGTTGTTTTGTTGACAACAACAGGCTGTCGCTTCTCCTCTGGTTACAGCGGAAACACCAAAACAAGAAGCCCGCCCTGTTCGCGTGCTGCCCAGCATTCGACACTGTTGTCATTGTGTCGTGAAAAAACAGGAAAAAAGACGCAATGGTCCATGTACCACACACTCCCCATCTTTCACTCGCCTATCTCAGGATTAAAGCGATAAACAACTCACGCGTTTCCGATATAAATTCTGGGGAAGACCTCGTTGAAGTGTTGGGTCGGTAGATTGTAGAAGCCGCTTCCGTCGGACAGGAGCTCGTTGAGTTGGTGGACGGTGATTTCACCGCTCGGAACCGGCGGTGGCGGACACGGGCTGTGAGGTTGTTTCGAGGGGCTCAGGTGTTTCTTCATGGCTCCTTTTGCTCACAGATGAATGTTAGATTAACGCCAGCGTATGACTCGTGAGTCTCCTCCAGCTGCTCAAGCGCATTTTACCTTTGCACATGAGTCGTGCGCGCGCTTCCTTAATCTGGAAGGTGCCTGAAGAGGCGGGAGACCTTCAGGTTATCCCAGCTGCGTCAAGCTGGTGGAAGTTTGATTATGTTTTTTCGGTTGTACTTTCAAAGTAAGAGACGAATTAGACTTCTTCAGCACTAGAGCACAGACCACGTCCTGGACTAAATGACAACTTCCTCTGCAGATTGGCCACATTGACGGCAGCTTGATAGAGCTCACTGCCTCCGCCAGACACCGGCTGTTCGACACTCTGGCGACATGGGAGGACGACACACACACACACACACACACACACACACACACACACACACACACACACACACACACACACACACACACACGCACGCACGCACGCACGCACGCACCCACACACACACACGTTTTTATGGGTGTGTGTGGACTACGTTTTCTGAGTTGTTTGTGTGGACCCTGACTTCCACTATAGCCAGAATGGTGCAAAAATTATGTTTAACTCTAGATGGGACAAAGAAAGCTTCCTCTAGGATTTTGGTTGTGTGTACCGGGTAAATGTCCACACAATGGTGAATGTCCACACAATGTTGGTCTCCCGTCAGGGGTTGATCCACACAAACCCATAAAGACAAGTGCACACACACACACACACACACACAAAACACACACACACACACACACACAAGTCCTAGGAGCTCAGATGTGTCCTAAGTTTCTCATTTGAACTTCTCATAAGTTTTTACATTTTCTGCCAAACAGACATGAAGGGAAATGTGTGACCTGTTTATGAGCAACTTCAGGGTTTCTAAGGTTCTGGAGTGAGACTCGTGTACCGGACAGGGTCAAGTAGCAGCAGTTCTGTCATGGTTGAACGATGACTCAGCTGTCTCTCCTTCTGTTCCAAGCCTTCTCTCTCTGTTATCCACATCCCTGAGCAGTAAAAACCAGCAACTGATTTGTGTTAAAACAACAAACAGAAAACAGAGAAACAGTATGATAAATGACCTGCACTTGTATAGCGCCTCTCAGAGTAAGAACTCCAAAGTGCTTTACACTACAGTGTATCATTCATCCATTCACACACATTCACACACTGATGGTGATGAGCTACAATGTAGCCACAGCTGCCCTGGGGCGCACTGACAGAGGCGAGGTTGCCGAGCGCAGGCGCCACCGGTCCCTCCGACCACCATCAGCAGGCAAGGTGGGTTAAGTGTCTCGCCCAAGGACACAACAGCAGAATTCTCTGTCCGGAGCCAGAATCAAACCTGCAACCTTCCGATTACTGGACAACCTGCTCAACAGAGTTTTTATAATGTGAACATGAGTCTGACACAACAAGTTTGAGCCAAACAGCTTTCCGTAGCCAGAATGGCGTTGGATTCTGAGATGGTGAACAGAACATATTGTTAACGAGCAAGGCACCACAGGGAGTTGAACCCTGTCTCATTACTGAGAGTACCATCACCAGCGCTTCAGCTTTTGGTTGTGACATAAACACATGAAGCAGAATCTGCATCAAGCATGTTTGTGATTCAGACTGGTCGTTAGAAAATACTGACTTGTGATTTTGGTGAAGTGTAACCTGCTTACTGTCTTCTTTTAACCCTCTCAGGCTCTAAATAAGTTTTGATAAAAGGATGAACAACTAAGTCCTTCAGGGGTACTTCTGAGTTAAAAAATGCTCATGAAATACGTATGTGGAGTAACCAGGTATGTAGGTTTTAACGTTGCAAATCTGCAACGCCTGCCTCCAGAGGGTTAAAACAGAATCACTCTTAGTCTGGCCCCTCACCTGAGACCAGGTTAAGGGCTGTCCAGTTGTGCTGAGAAGCGGCATTGCTTGGAGGGTAGATTAGTTTGGCCATTAACTCCATTATTGCAGGTCGGGGCCAGGTAAGTCACGAGAGAGGGCTCCATTGGAGGGAGGTTAACCAATCCCACCATTCCTGCACCGTCGGGGTCCAAAAACTGACCGTAAGCCGGCACCATGGTGCGGGTGGATAGCAGCTTGGCCCAGGATGCCGTGAGCTCAGCCACAAAATCCGGGTACAGTGGCAGAAAGTTCTTTACCTCCACTAGTTCTGAGGGGAGGTAAAATCCAGAAAAGAGGGGCCTCTTTTGAGGTGGAGGAGCGGGCCAGTCCACTTCTAGCCTCCCTGCTGCACGCCGGCAGAGTGGGAGAAAAGAAGTGTCATCTTGCAGCTCGGAGGCTGAAGTAGCAGCTGGAGCTGAACACTCCACTGCTGAGAGGACATCCTCATCCTCGAGTAAGTCATGACCGTCGGGGCAAATGTCCAAAATGTCTCTTTCATCCTCTGCCAGAGGAGGAAACTGTGAAGCCTCTAGGTCTAGTTCAGTTAAATTGTCCACCATCTCCATCTGATCTGCCCAGCTAGTAGCAGGGACATCAATCACTAATCTGTCCACGTCAGAGCCGGGCGAAGCCGGGGCCGAACGGGAAGGCATGGGGTCCTGCTGCAAAACTGCAGCATCTCCCAACAGACATTGTAGGAGCTTCACGCGCCGTTCGAGCGTGGGACGGAGGAGTTGGCGACAGAACTCGCATGCCTCCGGGTCCACAAGCGCTCTCCTGGCATGGCGAATTCCCAGACAAACTGGGCACGCTTCATGTAGGTCCTTCTCGTGAAGAGATAATCCGCAGCCCTGAGGATAGGGGTGCGAAGCGGCTTTCCGTGAAGCAACGTCCAACACGGTGCTCATTGCAAGACAGAAATTCCAGAGAAGCTGGAGAGCCAAAATAGATAGCGCTTGGTGGGTGGGAATGCTAGCCAGAAGGCAGTAGATTCCAGTCAGCGAGCGGTTAAGCTATCTTTCAATAGCGCAGCTAGTTGTCAGATGTGTTATCAGCGAGGTGAAGAGTGTAAGAACTGAGGAATAACAGTGACGCGGTCGCTTATAAGTGGAGGGCGGGGCCTCCACGCAGCGTCACTTTCATTTGCCTTACAGGCATAATTAAATGTGTCTGCAGCCAGGCCACACGAGGACGTGATGTCCCATAGTACCTTCGTTGTACCGAGCAAATCGACTGAAAGGGAACGATAATTTCTCAAGTGTTTCCAGATCTGAGGGCGTTTGAGGACTGGGGATGTTTTTCCTCTTGTCTCGTTTCTTCTTTCTTTTAGACTTAGTCAGAGAAACGTTTGGCTCCACTGGCTCTAAAAGTTCAGAGCTTGTTATGATCTCTGAAGGCTCCTCTGTCAGTGGTAACGAAGCCTCTTGTATCTCTGAACGTGAAAGGATTTGAACTGCCTCAGATTCAGGAGAATTCTGGATTAAAACGTCTTCGATATTTTCAAGAACTCCTTCTTGAACTGCATCAGGCAACAAGTCATGTTCTGCTTCTTCATTCTTTCTTTCACTAAACTCAGTTGGAATAAATGTATTTTCCTCTGATTCCTTATTTTAAGTTAAAGCTAGTCCAACTTCAAGATCTGATGCGACGTCCTTTTCAGTAAATCCTTAATCAGATGAAGTTTCTGATGTCTGGTTGTCTCCTGCTTCCAGTGATGAAGTCTGAGTGGCGATTTCTCCAACCATGTTTTCTGTCTGAGTAGAAATAGTTCTTCTTGCTTTTTGTGTCAGTAACACCTCAAGTCAAAAGTTCATTTTGTCCTGTTCTCTCAGTTTGTTAGCTACATAAACAAAGGTGGCATCCTATTCCCATGAAATCTTCTGGAAATCGTCCATATCTGAAAACTCTGAAAGAAAGCTGGTTGAGGCCATTTAAAAGCATGAGTTGATATTTATGAGAATGTTCAGTAACTGGTTGTCAGGTGAGTGTACACATGAAGGTGTGACTCTCTCACACACTCAATGAGCTACTGTGACTGTTGTGAGTTCCGCCTCTATTTATAGGGTGGCCAATGATGATGATGATGATGTCATCACAGACAGGTTATGTGACTGTGCCCTATGATGAAGATGATATAATCTAAGAGGATATAGGTCACATGACCCTGCTGCTAGGCAACATCAGGGCAACATCCAAACAAAATACATCTAATCATTTTTTAGAAATGAATTAATGATTTGGAAAAGGGTAGAATGCCTTCTCCGGGTCAGGGATGAGGTCCTGCCCCAAGTGGAGGAGTTTAAGTATCTTGGGGTCTTGTTCACGAGTGAGGGAAAACTGGAGCATGAGATCGATAGGCGGATTGGTGCTGCATCTGCAGTGATGCGGGCATTGTACCGGTCTATCGTGGTGAAGAGAAAGCTGAGTCAGAAGGTGAAGCTCTCGATTTACCGGTCGATCTACGTTCCTACCCTCACCTATGGTCATGAGCTTTGGGTAGTGACCGAAAGAACCAGATCGCGGACATGAGTTTTCTCCTAAGAGCGGCTGTACTCTTCCTTAGAGATAGGGTGAGAAGCTCGGTCATCCGGGAGGGGCTCGGAGTAGACCCGCTGCTCCTCCACATCGAGAGGAGCTAGTTTAGGTGGCTTGGGCATCTGGTCAGGATGCCTCCTGGACGCCTCCCTGGTGAGGTTTTCCGGGCACGTCCAACCGGGAGGAGGCCTAAAGGTAAAACCAGCACACGGTGGAGGGACTATGTCTCTCTCCTGCCCAGGGGATGCCTTGGGACGCACACACACACACACACACACACACACACACACACACACATATATATATATATATATATATATATATATATATATATATATATATATATATATATATATATATATATATATATATATATATATATACAAAAGGTCCACCAAATACAAAAGACACTCAAAACAATGATTATCTTTGCATCACCAAACATTCTGAAATTACTGCCTTTAAAAGGTGTTTGATCTTTGTTTTATCAAAAACATTTCTGCACCTGAATATAGGTTTTGAAGGAGGAGAGCAACAATGTTACTCTCAGCTGTGTTTGTTCACCGCATTGAAAATAAATTAAATATAATTTTACTGTAGAGAATTTGAACTTGAGTCAGGACAGTTAAAATGTTTTACAGACTAGTCACATATGTAGAGATTTAGAATTTGGTTTATTAATAAAAAATAGCTTCACAGAGTTTTTGCACAATCAGAATAACGTCTAAAAGCAGCAGAC